TATAAATAATAATAGTTAAATAATGATAGTTAAATAATTTCATGTTAATTATTTATATATAAATTAACTTCTCCAACTTCCACTATCACACACATCTTCTTTCTTATTCCTGGGTGGTTAAAAAAGATTTATTCAGCAATTTTTTCTTCTCTCCCACTATCACACGCTTCTTCCTCATTTTTAGAGGCGGTTAAAAAAAATTTATTTAGCTATTTTTTATTCTCTCGCGGTGTAGGAATTGTTTACTCATATTGTATTCTTTATTTTACAGATTCAAAAGATGCATAAGAGTTCTTTTATTTTATTTTATTTTTTTTTTTGTATTGAGAGTTCTTTTATTGGTTGCACGCATTCAACCAGATATGTTGGAAATACAGAATGTTCAGACTTGAACTTACCACCAACATATTGGAAATACAGAGTTCGGACGTGAATTTACCACCAACATACGACTTACATGAGATGATTATTCATTTACAGGTAATTATTGTATTAATTAGTTAATTATAATTATAATTACATATAATTTTGTATATGTACAATTAATTAATTGTAATTTACTATTTTTCATCACATAATTTAGTATATGTACAATGAATAAATTTATAATGGTAATCTATCATTTTTTTATTATTTCATTACAGGAGAACAATCGGATATTTTGTTATTTCATCGCAGGGCAACAATTGGATAGAAAGATACAAGAAGAACAGTTGAAAAGAAAGATTGGGAACCACAGCTTCCCTAAACTGTGTATAGTCAAATGTTAAAAATATTGGTTTCATAGATATACGTGATTTATTGTTTTATATGTGATACAAATATTTGTTTGTTGTTTTTTATGTCATGGAAATAATGAATAATATTATATATGTTTTTCTATTGTGTTCTTCATCTTAATTTATTCACGTGATTGGTTGTTTTATATGTGATAGAAATATTTGTTTGTTGTTTTTTATGTGATCGGACGTTGATATATATATATTAATTTTAATAATGAATAATATTATATATGTTTTGCTATCGTGTTCTTCATTTTAATTTATTCTCTTTTTTTCTCTTATTTTGTAAATTGTTATATATAAAAAATATAATTTATTCAATTTTACAACCATTCAAACATATATTCAACCTATTGAATTTTAGATTTGTTGAATGATAATAAAAATAATCAAAAAAAATATTTCATTATAATTTTGGTATATAATTTATAATATAAGCAATGATTTTTTTTAATGATATGATTACTAATATAGATACATTAGGAACAAAACAATCCATTACAAAAATTGTAGCTAATGAAATAAATTAGTAACGGACATTTCCATTTCTGATTTGGTTGCTGATAGTAAATATTAGGAACAGATAAATCAGTTACAGATTTGGTTGCTACTACTCTACTATTAGGAACGATTTTGTTTGTTGCAAAAATCGTTGCAAACAATAACAAACTGTTTTCCGTTTCTGAGCATTAGCCACCCTGTTTTCACTAACCAATTATGAAACGGAATTTGTTTGTTTCTGTTGTATATTAGTAACAGAAAAATACCCTTCAGCAACAATAATTTTTGTTTCTGAATCTCTAATTTCTGGTAGTAACATCACCAATGTGTGCAAGTTACATAAGCGGTGGACATATTAACATGTGCCCACCGTGAGTAAGAGAGCATTACTGGTGAAAAGAAACATTTTTACATTTGCTTTTCAACAAATCGATGCAACAAGGGCAAAAATAGGTCTCGAAAAAATGAGAAATTGATTTGATAAAAAATTTATCACATGGGTTCGCTGAAAAATCCGACGTAATAGAAAGCTTTTAATATCGATTTTTTATGAAAACCGATGTCACAGGATTAGAGTTCACATTAGTTAATAAAAACTTATGTGAAAAAATTGTTTCTTACATCGGTTATGATAAAATCGTTGTGAACATGTTTGCTATGACATTGATTATTGACAAAACCGATATCGAAGTTTTATTCTTACATCGGTTTATACATAAATCGATGCATCTTTGTTCCACTGTTACATCGGTTTTAAAAAACCGAGTAAAACTATAGTCTTTTACAACAATTTTATTTAACTATAAGTCATTTTTTTATTTAAATTGTGAATCTAAAAATCTATTACTATAAAATAATAACATTCATATATTCAAAATATTTTTATAATTCACTAATATGATACGCGACATGTACTACAATCAAAATATTTCAACAACACTGAGTTGTAATAATAATTCTAAAATACACTACTCCAACAATAGTTATCAACCACAATTCATCATAAAGTTCAAAATCCATTAAACATAGCGCGAGAAGCTTGGGACGCGATAAGGGTTGGCGTGACTTGAGGAGCAAGCAAACCAAGATCCTCCAAGAAGATGGCCGAAAATCTTGGAAGATATTGACTGATTTTAGGAGACTTATTGATTATATTTCCTAGTATTATAGTTTATTTATGTGTTGATTAAGTTATGTATCGTTAGGATTTTAGATAAGGATTCTAGTTATTTGCTTTCCACAAATTTAAAAGTTAATTTCTCTTAGGTATAGTCATTGTTTTTCCTTTAAATATCTATCATTGTAATTTGTGTGAATCCCACATGCGAGTCGGTTGCGGTGTGTGCGGTCATCGGCTAGGCCAGGGTGACGATTGCTGCATGGCTCGGGTCTGACTGGGCCATCCAGTCGGGAATTTTTTGGTGATTTTCCGACAAGTTTCCGGGTGAATTTCCTGCTATCTGCGGAACGTAAATTTTCTAAAGATAAAAAGAGAAAAATAGTCCAAGGTACCAAATCGACTGGAAAACACAAAACGAACAAAAATGACTAAAATAAAATAAAATACTTAAAAACACATAAAATATTCCGTACACAATCGGTACAATAATAATTTCAATATTATTTTATCTAATTAATTGGATATAATCACCCAAATTTGGAAAAATTGTATTATTGAGATCAATATAAAGATTCATATGTAAATTAAATAGTTTATATTTATATCATTCATTTTTCACCAACGACAAAATCTATAAAATGTGATTGATATGTTCATTATCTAACTTATAATAATTTTAAATATTACGTATGTACACACCCATACAAAATGTAAAATATTATTCTCATCGATGCATGTACACAAAATCGAATACTAACGTAAACGAAAACCTATAAGCCTATCATTACCATTGGCACTCATCAAATGTTCCAATAGACTTACACACACGCCTTCACTTAGTTGAAGCTCCGAAGGAAACAAAATCTATATATATCATCTCCTCTCGATATGTTTAGAAGGAGGAAAATTATGCAATTAATTATTTCGGTTAAAATTAAGCATATAATCGGAAAATTAAACAATTAATTATTAATTAATTAACTAATTATTTTCTCCTGGCTGAGGTATTGGTGTACTTTTCTCCTCATCAGTTGACTTATTTGTTGTTCGTGACGAGCTTTTCCTATTTTGCCAATCAAACCTCTTCTCAAAGCCATTTGTGCCATCACCAAAATAGATGCCATCGGTTCTTGCTTCCCACAAGCATCTACCCGACCCGCATTGACCTCTGTGTTTCGACGTAAATACGTCCCAAGCAATCTCTTTATTTTGCCACCAAAGATGGCAAAAGAACAGAGTTCTTCCGGTATAACCGTCACAAAAGCTCCAGTTGAAGTCGTAATTAGGAACGACGTAATGAAATCCGAGGTCGTCGTTACCGGACGCACAATGCAGCTCGAGTTTCGGATAAGGGAGCCTATTGATCACATGAACCTCAAATCTTTCAGTAATTTGGCATGGATCTTTGTCGAAACCCTTGATTTTGAAAATATTGATGAGAAAAATGGCCAAAATTAGTATGTGGGTTTTCATTATTATTGAGTGATGAAATGATGAAAAGCTAATTAAAAAAGGTTTTTTGTGATGTTTTGTTTGGGTTGTTGCGACTTTTGTGTTGTGTTTGGAGATATTGTTATATATGTAAAGGACATATTGAATTGTAAGTTACGATATGACATTTAATTTGGGAGGTAATATATTAATGTCATGGTTAATGTACATTAAGTTACTATAATTAATTCAACTTAAGGTGAATTAGCAATACAGTTTTGTTATAAAGCCAACGGTTGACTCCATAGTAGAATCAACATTCTATATACAACAAGTAAATCACACCATATTAATAAAATTATTAGTATTAATTAAGTAATCAGAGAATATGGTACGATTTACTTATTGTATACATAATGTTGACTTCATTATACAACCAAATGTTGGTTTCATAGCAAAACTAATTAGTAATCTCGTGTTTCCTAAAAGTTTTCAACATGAATATCTCATGCTATGTTCTAAATCACATGTTATATATACTAACATAGTTTTATATTTAATTTATATATATACTAGTACAATGCCAACATACTACACGAGGTTCGGTAGAAATAATAAAAACTGTGAAAAACATATTTAAAAAGAAAATAAAATTTATATTCTTATTGTACAATAAAAAAAATAAAAATAATTAATACAAATAAAAAAAATTGTAATATTACTTCGAATTCTAGAAAATTTCTATGAAGTATTGTTTGTGTTCTATTTTTGCAAAATTTATTGGAATGATTAATTTATTCGACAGTTAATATAATGGATGTATTTAATACATTGCATGAAAAAAGAATATGTATATCAATAGAAAGAAGTAAAGAAGTTTATATTTTTATAATAAAATGATAAAATGAGTAAATATAAAACTAATAATTAAAATATTAGTAAGGTCAATTATTTAAAATGATACCCATATTTTACATTCGATTTGTCAAAATAGTAATTAATCCTTCAATTTTATTGTTAATTATTAAAAGTTTTTATTTCACAATACATTTTTTTTTTTTTAAATCCTTTGTAGTTAGGGCATTTTACTAGTCTATTAACAGCGAGCAAGATCGTATGACTTGTATTAAAAGACCAGGGAATGAAACGGCACTATAGACTCTCCAGTCTCCACACGTTACACACTACTTAGTAAATACGAATATAACGGTAAGACAAAATAACAAGAAGCACAGGGGGAAGATAAAACTAAGGGTAAATGCTACGGAACCATTCTGTCGAGATTTGTAATCGTTAGATTATCATGTAACTGTTGTGGATTCTGTAGAGATTTGTAACCGTTAGATTATCATGTAACCGTTGTGGATTCTATCGAGATTTATAACCGTTAGATCATCATATAATCGTTATACATAATTAATCTACAATTATAAACCCCACAAAATGATTCATAACGAGGACAGTGGAATCTCCCAAAATTACAGTAATACTAAAAATAAAATAAAAATCAAAACCCAATTTCCACAAAAATAAAAAAAGATCCACATTTTCCTCCATATTTTTCTCTCCCTTTCTTTCCTTCCACACACAACACAAATCTCCCAT